GGCCGGGCCTCTGGCGAGCCTGCCCGTACGCCCAGTGATCAAACGGGCAGGAGCCGGTCGCTGCAACCCGGTGTGGCTGCACCCACCTCCAGGGCGCTGCCTGGCGGGACACTGGGGCCCCGTGTTTGTGCTGGTTGAACGGTCAGATTTGTTAGTCGCTCAGCTTTTTCTGTTTCTTGGGTTTAATCTTGGCTTGTGGAGCATTGCACCATTCATGCTATTGCCCCATTGACGACGAGAGGGGATGCACTTTCTGCAGAGAAACATCATTTGTTCCCTTTGTTTCCTCTGAACAGTTACAAATTTCACATCTGATTTATGGGATCGCGGTGGGGTGACGCAAAGCTGCCCCGTCCCTCCCATTACAGTAATGAGGGGCTCCTGCCTGGCACAGAACCGCAGCCTCGGGTTTAAAGCAGCTGTTGAAAATCCTTCCTTCTCCCCATGTCTCCACGTCATTCATTCCAGGTCGGAGCAGGTGTGTGACCTGCAGCAGGGCTGGAGGCGTGCCCTGGAGCACGGGGGTGCTCCCCGCAGAGAGGGCTCCCCGCAATGCTCGGGGCACGTCTGCATGGGAGGCTGCTCTGGAGAGGAGAAAGGCAGCCTGTTCCCAACCACTTCCGTTACTCCCTAAGCAGTCTCAGCTTGTTCAGAGCAGTGCACCCCTAAAAGGACGGGGGCAAGAAGCGAGGAGTGAGAAATTCTGCTCTAAATTCACACCCTGCCGTAATCCAGATTAACGTGCCTGGGTGGGAAACGCTGGGCCTAGGCATGTCAAGGGTAGAATTGTGCAAAGCTCTGTAGGATGTTCCTTTGTGTGGTATCGTGGCTTTAATTAATCGTGGCAGAGCCCTTCAAACTGGGTACGGTGGGTGCTGCAGTGCCTTCTGGTGCCTGCCCAGGGCTGTGACCCCCGCAGCAGCCTGGCAGCAGCCAACCCGCCCGGCTGGGACGGGGCGAGGAGCGCGGCTGCGATCACGCGACGGCGGTCAGTAACACGGAAATAAAGGCCATTTGGAACGGGAATTTTGTGTGGAGGCATTTCGGAGAGGGCCACCCCCGTGTCAGGAGGCTTTGTCAGTGATGTCATTCCCAGTTCACGACTGGGAATCCTGAGTGTGCGGTAATGTCCAAGCCCTCCCGACTAAGCTGCTCCGCAGACCTCTCGATGGGCTGCATCTCACCCGGCCGTTCTCCCTCTCCTGTAGGATCCTGGTGAACATGGACAACAACATCATCCAGCACTACAGCAACCACATGGCCTTTCTCCTGGACGTGGTGGAAGCAGAGGACAAGTTCCAGATCATCCTCAAGGAGCTATAAGGAGCCGCAGGCAGCACTTACTGGGACTTCTCTCAAAGCCGGCAAGTTTGACCCCACGGAACTCGGCCTAGTGCCTCGGCTCGTTGCCTTTACTTGAATACAGTGCCCCTGGCGAGGGCCTCGGCCTCGCGGCGCCGCGCCGGAGACTGCTTGGAAGATCTGTTATCGATGTGAACGTGGAACTTCTCTCTGTTGAGTTATAATTATTATTTTTTATTTTATTTTATTTTATTCCCTTCTGGCGATGGGCCTGACCTCCTGTTTCACAGCTGGGAACGCGCAGCTACGCTAACGTGGCTGTCAGAGCCTGGAGGGGCGGGGGCCTGCCTCTGCTCGCTGTTTGCCTTGGCCCGTGACTGCTCCAACCCCAGGCTTTGGCTTCCTCCCAAACCGTCAGTCATGCAGAACCTTCAAACCATTTCCAGCAGGGCTGAGCCCAGCTCTGAGCTTCTCCCTGTCCACAGAGACTCTCACAGATGCATTTAAAACTCACTGTTGAACGGACACTGCCTGCTCCCACGCCCCCCACCCTGCCCTGTCGCTGAGTGTAAATACCACGAAGGCCTCCATAGCCCTTGTTTATACATTTCTGATGTGTTGTTCCTTTTATATTTTATATATGTATAAATAATGCCTTGTTTTATATTTGACTCAGTACGGTGACACAGAGCATTTCAAACACAGGCTGCTTCACATTTCTCCGTGAACTCCTTTTGTAACTGTGTTGTTGGTTTTGTTGTTTTGGATATTCCGTAGTAATAAAGGCTCAAAGACGGAAAGTGAACTGTTGTCGCAGCTCCAGAGGCCGGAGTGGGGAAGGGCCGGGCAGGAGCCAGGGCAGAGAGGTGACCTCAGTGGTGCAGAAAGGACTCGAGGCTGCTCTTGCCCCACGCGCTCTTCAACAGCACCAGGAGTTTGTCCGTCCTGACCCGCCTCTCTGGGAAGGGGTGGGAGACAGCGAGCGCTGCCGATCTGCTCCCGGCTGCAGCTGCCGCCTCCACCGGTGTCTGGGCGCCTCCTGAACCTCCCCTCCCGCACGCCGGGCTCTCTCTCCCGGTCCTGCAGATGTGCCGTCACGGCGCTGCGGGTGGAGGTTGCTGAGTGGTTCTAGGCCCATCCCTTTGATGGAGGGATTTCGTTACACAGATTTGGTGACACTTTAAGCAAGCCAAAAGCAAGGCGCTGCTTTACTGCCGCTCCTAGGAGGGGCAGCTCAACCTCCATCTTTTTGGTGGGGGGTGGGTGTTGCCATATGGCCAGCTGCGCCCCTCCTTCCTGCGCTGCACTGAGTTTAACTCCTCACACCTGGTATCTCTCAACCACCAGCCCTTCACCCCGGCGCTGAAATTGTCTGCAGCTGCTTCCCATTTAGGTAAAGAAATACCAAGGGGAGCCCTGTATTTTCTACTTAATCCTCCAACCAGTGAAAACCAGGGACTTTCCTCCTCTTTCATCTTCATCCTTTGCTTTTCCTGTCCGTGTCAGACAGATGCACCTGAGTCCCACGACTGGGGAAGCGAGGGCAGCTCTGCTCCCACTGGGAAGGGGGTTTTGAAATGTTGAAGCGCATCAGGCTGGTGAATTTTGCATTACTTAAGTGTTGTTATCACAACGAGGAGGGCCTCTAAGATGAGGCTCAGATAAGTTTGAAGGCTTATCGACCTTTGAAGATCTCTCCCAGCCCTCTGCACGCCTTCATCTTCACATCATGAACTCCTTCTTCAGCAAGATTCCTCTGATTCAGCGTTAGCTCTGCAAGGCCGTGCCTACAGTCTTGCTACAGCAGAACTTCAGCTCCAGTTAAGAACAGGTGCACCAGGAACCCCCCGACGCTTGGCGTCGGCAGCCGGGAAACCTACAGCCCCCCTTATCACCGCGATGTGTCAGGCGGGCGCGGGGGCTCTGTTCCTCCCGGGGGAGCTCCGCAGCAGGACTGCGCGCCCCGGGCACCCTGCCAGCGCTGCCTCTGGGGAGGGGGAACCCCTCCTGCCTGACCACACGGACAAGCGGGAGCTGCTAAGGTAAGAACAGGGGTTTCCTCTGTACCCAGCCCCCTTAGAGACAAGGGGTGGGTGGTTCAGGGGAAGCACCGTGTCCCCCACCCCACCGGGGAGGCCTGAGCACAAGGAATCGGTACAAACAGCAGATGGACGGCGCTGGGAGCACCCCGATGGCTCGCTCTGGGTTTCTGCAGGGTGCTACTGCTCTCCCCGAGGAGCTGCCGTTGCCCTGGCAGAGCCTGGGGCGCTCAGGGAAACTCCCGGCGGTGGAGGCGGCTTGCTCTGCCGAGCGGTACGGAGTTGGGAGGGCTGCAGGCAGCTGTGGGGGTTTTTTTTGTGGACGCCGCGTTGTGGGCTTTGGGTGGCCTCTGATCCCTCAAGTAGCTGCTCTGAAAGTCTGATTTTGGGGCTGACTTCCCACCAGCGTAAACACAGCGCTGCCCGTCTGACTCTCTCCTCCGTTACACCAGCCCAACTCCACTGACTCTAGTAGCATCGCTCCCAGTTTACAACAGCAAAAATCATCTCGTGTTGTAACTGCAGGTTCCCAGCAGAGCAACGATGGATTTGGCTGGATTTCACGGTGGCCCATCTCACACGGGCTATGAACACGTCCTAAGTTTTGCAGGGTGAGAACTGCCCTGGCTGGAGCTGTGTGTGTCTGCCCAGTGCGCTTGACTTCTTGGGGGGCAGAGAACCAGGTGCTTTTTCTGTGCAGGTCCTGGGTAATCTTGCCTCTGTCAGGTTTTAAGTCACGGTAACTCCGCCGTGTGCAGGGAAATGCCGGTTGATTCACACCAGCAGACCCAGTCACCGCCCCCTGCCACCCCTGCCAAGGGTGGGTGTTTTGCTGACTGGCTCAGTATCGTTCATCCCTTGCAGCAAAGGCGCGTTGCTGCGGAGGTTGCGTAAAGCAGAGCTCCCAAATATGTGAAAGCATTCTTGACTCTTTGCCCGGAGCCCACCAGCTCCTTTTGAAGATTAAGATACGAGTGATGAAGGCGATTCACCTCTGAGCCAACAAAGGTCGTGTGAAAGTATGAACCCCCTCGTGTTTTGCAAAGGGCTCGCGCTGACAAACGAGAGCAGCTTCCTCCGGAGCGGTGTCTGCTCCGGACAGTCGGCGGCTGGTTTGGGCTGACTCCAGTCAGAAACGCTCAAGTCAACTGGCTTGTTAAAGTGTACCCGGCGGGTGGCGGAGGGGGTCTGGGCACACGCACGCCACGGAGGTTTGACGTGTGTCTGCGCAGGCGTCGTGCTTCAGGCCCGGCGCGGTGTGGCAAACCCACGTCCGTTCTCGGAGCGAGGAAGCGGCAGAGGCGCAGGGTTTGCCGGCGCTGCCCTTCTCCCGTATTTCTAACCCGGGAAGAAAGGGCTCCCCAGCAGGGTAACCGCTCCCGTGGGCACGGCCCAGCCTCCAGCACCTGTTTCCTCTTTGGTTTATCAGACAAAAGCACCAAGAGGGGATTGGTTTTGGGGTTTTATTTGCAGTGCCTGTTAATTGTAGTAATTATTCAACATCTACAAAACTGGAAGCTTTCAAATCAACCTTCGCTCGAGGTCATTTTCCCATATACAGGACCAAGTACTGCTAGCGAGCTGCTGAGCTATGAGCCAGCTGGCCGTGGCAGGCCGAGGACAGGACCACTCATCACAGTGAGCGAGCAGAGTTTGAGGTTAGTCCTGCTCGAGGAACCCTGCTCTGGTGTCCGGGTTCTGCTGCTCGCAGCACTGGGAGCCGCTTCCCGCCGTAGCTGTAGACGGAGGGACACTTCCCGAGTACTCTGGGTGAATGAGCGCCTGCAATGACAGAGATACACAAAAAAGAGAATCGTGGCAGCACGCGAGCCGAGTTGTGCAAGAGCTCCGGTATCCCCAGTGCTGGGTGGAGGGCTCTGCTCTTCACTTCTACAAATAACACCCAGTTTCTGTGTCTTTATTCGTGCTTATTCATTCCTTGCATCATCAACCAAGCAGCTGAGGATCTCGGTGTGTGGTGTGGTTCCCCATCGCTGTAAAGGGAAAAACAGCATCCTGGGTTTTGTTAGGGCACCCACAGGCTGTGTTTGAAGGTGCCCTTGTGCTGTGTTGGGTGTCAGAGAGGATCAAAGACGGAGGAAAACGAAACTCTGGCTGCATCTGTTTCGCAGTGTGGAAAGCTTTACTGAAGTCCGTGAGGGTCCCCCCTCTCTGCTTTCTCACCCGATTCCTCGGGTAGTTCCTTGGGTCCGTAGAAGTGGATTTCTGATCAGTGGGATGGCGCTAAAACCCTCGGCCTGTGCAAACGTCCTGGTATCTTCAGCTGCAAACTGTCCTCGGCCATAGAATTAGAGTTTTGTGCTAACGTTCGGTGTGCACAGACTTCGGCTCAGCTTTAGTATGTCGAGGGTTGTCTTGCTTATACATTTGACTCTGACTGCGGCGCAAGGGATCACCCAGAGCTCCTGGAAGCACCGAGACCCTGGCTCCAAACAGCCCAGGCACCAACAGCTGCTGAATAACTGGCCTTTAATAAAGCTGCTGCTTTGCATCAGCCACCGACTGATTTAACTGTGAAGTATTTTGCCCCCCTGTGGTTCTGCTCATCGTGGTGTAGCACGGAATAGTTCTGCCCGTGTTGTGCCGAATTGTGAGCGTTCTTGTGGGCCAAGGGCTCAAGTCGCCTCTAATCTCATAACTGGGAGTTTTGATCCGCTGGAATTTTCGTCCCCTCTTTTCAGGCTAGAGTGCAAAGGAGATGTGGCGGGTTTTTCTAGCAAGAGAGCGAAGACTACGCGGATGGCTATGTCTGGTGGTGGTGTCCCCTTGTCCTTTTCACACACTGACGCGCTATTGCGGGGGCTCCTAACCCAACTGGCATAAAAGGCTGATGAAAACGAAAGAGGGCATCTCTCCACCACCTGCAGAAGGTATTTCTAGCCCATTCCCTTCCTCTTTAATGAGTTGGGTCACCATCCTTCACAACCGTGAGCCACATCTTCAGCACGAATAAACCGGCCTCGCTCTGTTCCTTTAACTGCAACGGGCTGATTGACGTGGGCTGGGGATCTCGTCCCAGCTTAGTCAGCGGAGCAGCCCTGGGGAGCTGGCGTGTCGGCGCAGTCCGGTGCAAGTCTGGGACACGATCTGGACACGGCTGCAGAAAAGCCCATTACCCCAGCGGTGCTGCCGGGAGGGCTCTGGAGAGACTAATGGCACCAGCGTGTTCACTCGCTGCGGGTGGCTGGTACGAAATCTGCAGCTGGGCAGTTCAAACGCTAGAAATGAGCAGCGCTGCTGTTGTCTGTTGTTCTAGCCCTTCGGTAACCTCCCGGAATGACTTAAGAATCTTAGAAGAAATAAACAGGGCAAGAAACATGAGTCTGACTAACAGAAAAAATAATGTTACTGGCGCCTGGCAACAATTAGCCAACGGGCACTGAGGGACACGATCCGCCCAGGCCGAGCTGAGCTCTGCCTCCACCCCCGATGAGCTGATCTGTGCCCAGGCAGTCAGGAACTGCTCAAGGCGAGGAGACCGCAGCAGGGTTCGTCCCTGCGTCTGCTTCTCTCGTATCAATGCTAATGTCGGGGTCAAAATTGGGCACTGTTCCTCCTGTGAGCTGTCCCTTGGCTGTTGAGGCTCGACTCCAGCTGTGGCAGCTGCCCGCTGGTCCTGGCTGGAGGGACTGGTGACATGTCACTGCGAGGCAGGGTGGTGTGTTTAACCCGTTCCTCGCTGAGGGTGGGTCCCTCCTCCCAGGCATTTCCTGATGACGAGCTGCAGGATGTGGTTCTTCTCCCTCAGCTTTACATCAGGAAAGCTCTGGTGCAGCCTACGGAGGACAGGACAGGACAGCCGGGGGGGTACAAAACCAAGGAGACGGTGCTGAGCTGCTCTGTGACGCCTCTCTCCAGCCGGGGCACGGAGGCTCTCTCTGTGTAAGAAGGCACGCTTGCCCCCCTCCGCCTCTCTCCCTGCAAGTGCTCCTCTCTTCCAATCAAACAACTATTGCAGGTGAAATGTCTGTTGTACCAACAGCCGGAATGATGTGATAGTTTTACACGTGCACCAGAACTCACAGAACCTGTTTGTCACGTGCCTTGACGGTCAGTGATGCTTTCATGGACTTTACATTGCAAACACGCTTTTTTCAGTCTTGCCTTTAAAAATAATATTGTAAAATACAGACCAGCAAGTTGGACAAAGAGCTGGGAGTCAGGACTCTAGTGCTGCTTCTGCTGCGTGGCCCTTCGGATGATGTTAGAGCACCTGAAGGTCTCAGGAGACGCCATCCTCCGATCGCAGAGGGATTTAGACACTCGGTGCTCATCATAAACCCACTGCCCCCAGTTCACAAAAGGTCCTACGTGCCACGTTCTACCGAATTTAGTGCCTTCCAGAAACGGCGTCCACGTGCCTTTGTGGGTGAGCTCTGCTAATTCCTGTGCTCTGTTTGTTCTCCTGCTGAGTGTGCAGCAGCCCCGTTTAGTCACATTCGTGTTTTGCTGTCTCTAGTAGCAAGAAGTATTTCAGAACAACTCTTAACCTCACCTGGCCCAGGGATCCCTTCCTGGGATCTGCCTCTGTCCATCGCCCTCTGTCTGAGGCCAAGGCAGCGCTGGAGCGGTCCTGCAGTGGAGACCCTTTGCAACCACACGGTCCTACTGCGCAGGCCCAGGCCAAGGAGGATCTTTACGAGGTGGGATGGCTGGAGCAGAGGGAGTCAAGCAGAATTTTTGCCTGTCAGGAGAAAAAGAGATTTGAGGAATTTGTCTGACACCGATGGGGTTTTCTGTTTGAAATAAAAGCTGTGGTTTCTGTTGCGTGCTCGGGGGAGGTGGATGCTTTATCCTCCTAAGCCAAAATCTTTGGGAAATGATCTGAGGAAAAAGGGGTCCAACTGCAAAGCCACAGGCAGCTCGCTCTGTTTATCATAAAATAGAAACACTTGCCAGTGGTCCAGCCTCTGTAGAGAGCTGGTTGCTCGGCTACTCCAGAGCAAGATAGCGCTGAAACCAAGACAGCGATGCCAAATGACTCCGACTGGGGGTTCCTCCCATTCTCTCCCACTGGCTGAAACAAGAGCAAGCTCTAACCCCAGCAGTTGGGCGTGGAGTGTTTTTGTGTTTTCTGATAATGCAGACTGGCGATCTTCTCTCCTCATATTTAATTTGCCCTTTCTTCTAGCGCTCTGTCCTTATCAAGTGCCACTTGGCATTGCTTCCCGCCCAGCCTGCAGCTTCCCACTCTTTTTACAAAATCCCTGTTATGAGATACAGCTGCTGAGAGATGTAGTAAAGATACACCTGTTGGGTACGGAGAGCCGTGGGCTTTCTCATGTTCTCATTCTTTTCCATGGTCAGGAATTTATTGTTGATCTTAATCTTAGGCCAGGAAACATCAGTGCATGGTGACAATAAATTTACTTGAACGATTGATAGACAGATTTATTTGTCTTCTCATAAGGATACCGAGGGGGGAGGAGGGCTTGGGAGAAGGGAATTTCCTTTCATGCCTTTTAATCTCTAATCTCTTTGAAACAAGCAGTAGGACGGAATACAAGGGAATGGCAGCTCTGGCTCGAAGGAAGTACTTCGGACTTCCACAAGCCTCTTTCCAGCTCCAATTCCCAGCCACAGCTGAGGGGCTGAGGAAATGCCCACGCCTTACCCCTCAGGTGCCTTGAGATGCTGGGCAGCCACGAGCATCCCTCCCCATTCCTGCCCAGCGGTTCCCAGGTTGGACCCTTTATGCCCAGCCTGTTCCCCTGGGGGTGAGTTTAGGCACTGGCAGTGCAAAAGGAAAGCAGCCTCATCCTTAAAGCCTCTGCCTGGGATGTGAAGAAACTTTTTCCAGGTCATGTGTGCTCTGGCTTCTCGCTCTGTACCATGGGGACAAGAAATTACCCCTACATCATAAGGGCGGTGCAGTATTTAATGACTGTTTGTAAATGTCTGAGAGATCATCTGATAAAGGGACCTCTGATACACTGCTCCAGGGTGTTACCAACCCCCACGCCCCTTCGAGGCAGCGCGCTGTAGCACTTCCACCTCTGAGCCAGTTCCTGTGGACCTGTGGCAATAACTGGCCCCACTGGACCAGACAATATGGTGGGACGCTCTGGGATCACTCCGTTGACGGATGTATTTTCGTACGTCCCACGGAAGTGGCCTGTCCTCCAGGCTGGACATAACCTGAAAGGAGTTTGCTTTGCTTCCCTGGCAGGTTGACGCGGTGGATCGGCTGCAGGCTCTGGGGTACATCTGTACAGCCTTGTTAGGTGGGAGGTCTTTGACTTGAAGCAAGATGTTCTACACTTGGGAGATACCTTGATGAGGGAGTTGTTGATGTTGTAGTGACCTGCAAGACAAACAGAAAAGGGATGTGAAGACCAAACAAGGCTGCAAGAGTGGCACTGAGGAAGGAGAGTGCACCAGTCAGTGAATGTAACAGAAGGAAAAAGAACCGGTATAACAGGACGGTGTGGGGAAATCACTTCTGGATTTAAAAAGTGCTGTCCTGGGCAGAGCTTATTTCGAGGGACACCGATAAGGCAACACTAGACTTTGTCCCGAGCATAGGAACAAACGGAGGTATTAGCAATTTTAAAGAATCAAACAAACAGGAGGAGAACTCGCACGTGGTGTAACTTGTAAGATAAGCCACAAAGCGACGTGCCCTCACGCTCCAGGTCTCAAACCTCACCAGGCAATGGGCCAGGAGCAGGCTGCTTTTGAGCCAGGAGTACTGTGGAGCTCGGTACGTTATACACTAGCGTGGCTTCTCCTGAAGCCTCTGGCATTTACACTGCGCTGCGGGGTGTTCTAGTGACTCCTTACGGCTACTCTGAACGGTCGGGATGGTTTCCGGACGGTTGTCTCGGCAGAGGTTCAAAGGGACCTACTCGGAGCTCTTGGAAGGGAGACTCACTTCTGTCCTGACAGCGGCGTAAACTGAACGTGCCTTAAGAAGCTCCGAGCGACCTGAGTTTGTGCGCGATGCTGCCCGGCACCCTGGAGGATCAGAACCAAAATCAGAGCAACATCTTTCCTCCCAGCTCAAGGCTCATGTACCTGGAGAAGGCCCTTTTCCAAATTGTTCCAAATTTAATCCTCTTGTGGTTTTGGACATAAACACTGTCTGGCCAGAAACGTTGTTGCTTTGCTTGCAGAAATCCGTGGAGGCCTGTGCCAGAAAAAGGGCTTGTGAATGCCTTTGACTTGACTTTACCTGTGGGTAATTACCAACAAAGGAAAACCCACATTTAAAATCCAGTTGTCTCCGTTGTGAGTGATTCTAATGACACGGCTGTAGGCAGTATTATGGCCAAAATCTGGGAGCGCTTACCAGTCGTAGGTAGGTCTCATTGTGACTGCCCAGCATGTAAAGGTTGCATTTACACAGACGCCAAGGACTTGAAACTCTTGCAGAAAATGTGGCGTTGTGTGTTTCACTGCTGTCTCCAGACTTCTCCAACGTCAGCTCTAAGCGTCTGGTTTTGTTCAAGTCACCGACTGAGCACAGAATTTGGGGCCGTGCTGCCAGGACACTAAAGGGGTGTCCGCGTGGCAGCCCCTGGAGCGCACTACAGAGAAAAGGAGATGTCTCTGCGGCTGTCGCTGCTGGGGCTGCAGGGTGGGCTGATGGCTCTGAGCTAAGGATGCCCTGGAGAGTCCGTATTTCGGTTTGTTGGGGCCTGCAGGTAACTGCTGGAGTGTCTGTGCCCTCCTGCAGCGGGCACCCAGCTCCGGGTGCAGCAGCGTCGTTATGCTGCTAGCGGTCCCCGAGCTGATTAACTCGGGCCGAGGTGCCAGAAGTCCCTGGGGGAGCAGGTCTCGCTGCCCTCATGGAGCGCCCGGCTGCCTGCTGCAGTCACCGCCCTGGTGCACGCTGCAGCTCTTCTACAACACATACACAGAAACACATTTACTTCACAGCTCCTCACGCCCCAGGTGAGAACTGCTCTCCTTACAGAGTCAAAAAACCTATGGTGCCAAAGGTTATAGGAGTTACCCAAAATCACAGAACAGGTAACTGCCGAAATGGGACAAAGGAAAGAGTCTTCAGGTTCCCAGGATGAAGCCTGACCTCCTGGAACGTGCTCTGGGATTTAAAGCTTTTTACTGTTGGCTGCTGAAAACGACTTTTTCTAACAAGGGGGCTATAGGTAGAGAAAACATCTCATGGTCGAGGCTAATTCAGTGATCTAAGTGGAAGAGCCCAGTTCAAGCACAAGAGTGGTGAGGTAGCAAGAAGACACCTGCATTAACGATTCAAACGCAAAAAGACCGATGCTTTTCCCCGTTTTTTCCTTAAGTTTCCTATAGTAAGCTGGTGAAATGCCTACAATAGTCATGATGGCTTTATTTTAACACAGGGTTTGGTCCCAGAGCTGAAGATGGCTTTGAGGACAGCTTAGGACACTGTTTTCTTGTTTCTCACTCATTTTTTCTCCAACATTCGTCCATTTTCAGCTGTCACTGCCTCAAATACAGATCCTCCAGTTACTAGACAAAAGTTCTTTCTTGCCTGAGTGACAGCAGTGACCACATAGAGTGCAGGATCTGTCCGCCTTTTTCCTCCCAGATGTCTCTTTGTCTACAGTCATAAATTATCAGACGCTGCCATCTTTTAAATAGATAGTTTCCTGTTCTGCTTCTTGTAGGTTAGATATTATCTCCTACAGTAAATCATGAGTCAGTGATTAATTCAAGAAGGCCGTTCCCAGAAGCAAATTCTTACAATGTTAAAAATAATACGATGCGAATCCATTATAGTATGATATAGAAAATAATTATGGCCTGCAAACGAGTTTAATCAACTCAGAACATGCTGGGGCAGATACTCCGTCGGAGTGAGTCATTCTAAGAAAGTTCACAGTCTTAGCGCTCAGGCTGCGCGAGCGAACGTGATTACCCCATGTCAGCCGAGGCTCCGCAGCTCTGTGCGTGCGCTCTTTGCACACCCAAATTGTGAGGTAAGAGATGTTTGTTTAAAACACCTTTGCTGATGTTTAAACTGTATCAAATTACTATAAAAGCATGAATTGCTTCAGGAAGATGCGTGCAGCCTGGTAAGATGTCTCAGCTGATGAGTGGCAGCTTATTAAGCTTATTAAATTGTGTTGTCTTCATTCTGTCTTAAACAGCTGTGCAAAGTCATCGGTTATTACAAAGAGTCAACGTGCTCTGCCTCCACGCAGTGGATGTATTTTGTGTTAAAGTGTGGTTCAAAGGCTACAGCTCACTAGGAAACGGCGGCAACGCAGACAGGCTGTGCAGAAAACAGCAAAAACCCCCTCTAAAGAATAACAAAACAATCCAAAAGTAATCACAGCCGTAGCAAGACACCACTGAAGGGACAGAAAACTCCATCAGCAGTGCGTATGTTATTATGAACTATCTGATAATTGTGAACACTCTGTGTTTTGTTAATACCTCCCGTATCTCAAAACATTCTGAATTCCTGTGGACTGAAGCTTACAACACCCCAGTGAAGCCTGGTCACCGTGGCATGGGTGGGGAGCATCAGGCACAGAACAGTTAAGTGATTGACACAAGGGTGAATCAGCAGGAGGTTCAGGAGCTGAACCTGAAGGCTAGGTCCTCAGCTGACACAAACTGGCACAGCTCCACAGCGAGTGGAAGGGCACGGTCCATTACATCAGCTGTACGTACGCAAACCCGATTCCCAGCTCGGAGGTTGAACCTCAAAACCCAGGACCTGTTACAGGTGTAACATTCACCTGCCTTGAGCTTCTTGGCAGAGGTTCCCTACAACCAACCGAGGCAGGCTGGATTTCTGGGATGAAACCTCGCGGGATGTTATGGGGTCTTTCGGCGTCAAAGCCAGCGATGTGGCAAGGACAGGGGTTGCTGCCACCCCAGGGGCAGGGACGCGTTCTTCCTCCCTCGGCATCGAAGAGTTACTGCCCGATGTGTGCTCGGGGTTCAGGACACATCTGCAGCACGGTCAGAGGCGAGACAGAAGCTCAGTGGAAATACCTGACCTAGCTTCGTGCTTGTTCCGTCGGCTGCTGGGGCCAAACTGCCCACGGGGGCACAGACCCTGGTGCAAAGGTTTGGGCCGTTGCAGCTACCCCGAGAGCTGCACCCAAACGCGGTAGGTGGCAGCTTGTCCTAGTGTTCTCTGAACCTCAAACATCACTTCACCACCATTATCCGTTAGCTGTGACCCCCTCGTCTTGTCCTCCCTTGACTGATTGAGTGCTGGAGTGGGGATTTTCTCATTCTTCCTGGCAACGGGTTGTTGAAACGTGCTGGAGTTTCCCTTGCTAAAGTCTTGCTTGGGCTGAAAACGTGACAAGATCCTGTAGGCATGTGCAGGGGGATAGTTGGAGATTTTCTTGCATGTGGTGCATGGAACCTGGAAGGAGAGGGATCAAGGGAACTGTCAGTAGCTGACCTGGGAAGAAACTGGGGCGTAACTGAGGGCTGGAATTTACCAAATGTCATTTTTAAGGACAAATCACCTTTCGCATTTTAAAACCAGCAGAAACTGCTATACAGAGCTGACCGCAGCAAGTTCTAACACAAAAATGGGGCTGAGGGTGATTTTTTAGGTATGAAGTTGCATCGATTTCTTCTTTTTGGGGTGGAGATGCTCATCAGCTTGCAAGAGAAACCTCAAAGACCACCTGTATGCCTTTTGTTAGAACAAATCCTGAAATCGGTCGCTTTAGCTACAAATTTCAGACAGCTTAGTACAATATTCTAAGTGAGTCCACAAGGTGTGCGCGTAGATCCTGCTTTACACTTCAGTAACGTAACAACAGCTCTGCCCCTTTTGCTTGGAAAGGCTCGTGCAAAAAGAAAAGGGACCACCTCTGGGTGACAGTGAGCAAAGGCAATTTCAGCCCCAGTAGAAATTCAAAAGATAAGGGCGTATGAAAAAGCAGCCTAGAACAGGTGTTGGACTTCCAATATAACTGACAACGAGGAATCATTTTGCTTCTTGGCTGGACTTTAGGAACATCCCCCATTCAACACTAAATAGGTATTGCAGATAGTCAACAGTCAGTCAAAGACCTGATCCGTAGCCCACTGACATCAGCACAAAGGCACCAGGTGACTTTAGCAGCTTTGGAAATCAGTCTGAAGTAAAACGCTTCCTCGTACCAGTGAAGTATCCAGTTCCCTTCTCCGACAGTGAGGTGCTGTTGATCTGACACTGAAGTAAAACGCTTCCTCGTACCAGTGAAGGGAAGCATCCAGTTCCCTTCTCTGACAGTGAGGTGCTGTTGATCTGACGAGTGACGCTACAGAATCCTGGACTTGTGGTTTCATTCTAGCAAGAGAAGTATCACACGTGTTGACCAAGCTGTATTAGTTACCTCTGTCCCGGGGCCAAGGCAATGAGCCAGAGGCACAGGCTCTCAGATGCTAACGAGACATCTTTCCCCAGCACATCCCTGCGCCCCACCTTTCTGAGCACAGACCAAAACACCCCAGTTCCTTTAGGAACAACTCTGAGCACAGCGGTGCTGGAACAGAGCAGTGGTCCGTACAGTCCATATGCGTCCACACGTATCTAAACAACTTCTAAACCTCGCTTACAACTGGCCTTGTGGGCCCTCACGGCTGTGCACACCACAAATGAACCAATATGAATTATTTTCTTTATTTGTATATTGCTCCAAACAGCTTTCATGGTAAATTACCATCCCAGTTCACAAATGGAGGATGAACACCGCTTGTACAATTATTTCCTTCTTTCAAGTTTAGATTTATTGGGGTTTAAGTTTATGCTGATATTCTTCTGGTTTACATGACATGGGAGAAGCTCACTATTTCATTTTTCTTAATGATCTCATATGCACTTCAAGCCCTCTTATTTGCCCTCTCCTCAAATTAGACATCTTCAGTGCTTTCAGTCCTCATTGGGACTCTCATGATCATCTCTCTCATTTCTAAATGGAGTATATTTCTGCCATAGCCTGGTTTTAGAGTTAGGCTGCCCAGAACTGAAGACAACATTCCAGCTGAAGGTGTATCAGCAGCATAAAGGACGGTATTATTGTCTTTCCTGTATCGTTTTCCAAGTCATGGCTTGCACCCCTGAATTTTATGCTTTAATTGTAATTGTGCATTGAGGTAAACGTCTTCATTGTTTCAAAATCATAATCTTTTAATGCGAGTCTCCTGTTGCATGGAAAGCTGAATATT